ATCTACTCATTCGGCGTGGAAGTGAGCAGTTGATATTAGATGGATATATTTACAACAGAAACCGCGAGAGGCAAACCTGCACACATTGGAGATGTGTCGTCAAGACGTGCAATGGGAAATGTACGACTGGCGGTGACTTTCTTCACAGTCTGTCGGAACATAACCATCCGCCTGAAGATGAAACCAGAGTGAACTTTGTCAGCAATCTTCCTAAAAGAGCGCGAGAAGAAACCACACAGACGCAGGCATCAAATGTAAAGTGTCATTAAATGTTAAGTATACTATTAAAGTATCTTTTTAAAGCTGCTTTGCTTTGTTTTTCAGATCTTATCTGGACTATTCCATTTTAAAGTCTTAGGTAACAAGCAAAAGGATTAGTGTGCACTCAACCGTTTAAAGTGTTGTTATAAGCTGTCTAACTATTGGGACGTCTAACTAATGGGAGGACACCTTTTGTAAGTCGTGGCTAACGGCTTTCACTTGGTTGACATACAATGAGGATTTGCAGATTTTATTTTTTTCAGTAGCTAGTCGTATATTGAATCTTGATTGACCGCCATTTTGCTTTCTCGGACGATCGATATTCAATTTTTTTATGGTCAATAATTAAGTACAGATGAAAAAAGTATTCAAATAACTATTGCTATCAACGATATTTTAGTATTTGTGATTAAATTATCTGACTTGTTTTTAAAAAAATCTTTAGTTTAAAAAAAAACTTTTCCCGTGAGGTCACGTGATAACCAAATATGGGATAATAGTCTCGATCCAAATGTTACAACGCGTACACTTGAGCAGACTCATGAATATAACTCATGAATATTAATTAGACCGTTCACTACGTTAATAGATCGTTATTATAACAGAAACAAACGTATGTTTACCATGTAAATCTAAAATGACATTATTTGTTATTAATTGTCCGGTGAATTAAATAATTTAAATTGAAACAATTCATAATTCATCATGTTATGAATACGTAAACTTGTAATGTGTGTGAAAAGTCGTACTAAAATACGCTATTTGAAGGGGGCGTGGCCTAAATGCAAATGTCCGATTGGGATTTTAAATTTTCCGGACCCCTGGTACTAAATGCAATGAAACTAATAGTAAAGTGCTCAGCAATATTACTTTAATAGAATCTAACAATATTCAGACCCGTGAAGAACCGGGTTAGAATAGGTCTTCGGCAACCCATGCTTGCCATAAAAGGGGACTATACTTAAGAAGTGACAAACAGGATCGGGTGGTCAGACTCGCTGAAATGGTTGATGCATGTCATCGTATCCCAATTGTGTTGATCGATGCTCATGATGTCAATCACTGAATTGTCTGGTCGAGACTCGATTATTTACAGACCGCCATCATGCAGCTGTAATATTGCTGAGTGTGGTGTTAAACAACAAACAAATTGTTGAATAAGAATGTCTACATTTCCCTATCTTGGGTAACCAAAACACAGGAAAACCCAGTATGAAATAGCAACATTTTAATTTGGATACCCAAGTTATTTTACCATTTTCATCAAATACTTTTAGCATTTCATAACATACACATGGATATTGCTATGGATTCATAGATAATCTAAACCAATACTTGATGCAATGTGCAAAATATTTAACACAAAAAAAATGCCTTCCAACCTCTCCAAGTACAGTCATAGCATCCCAGATTTTGGAGCCATACAATAAAATAGGAGTCATCTTGGTATCAAGGATAGTCACAACAGTGTGGTATCAGAGCTCCAGATAAGCTTTTGGTGTTGATCTGGGTATTCAAATTTCTGTTACCCACTAGTTTTTACACATGTGGGTATCTAAGTTAAATATTTAAAAACACTATTCATCGAGTCCCTGCAAACTGGTGTTGTGTGGGTTCGAGAGCTTTATAGGACTCAAAAATACCACGATACTTCCACCAGAAAGTGTGATGGCAAATGATCATGATGTAACTGTCATCCTGGGGTTTGGCAAGGTTGACGGAATGCCCGTTTATAATTTCAAAATAAGTTGCTGATTTGCTATTCGATTACGCAGGGTTACTTCACAATATTTTGATGATGCGCACAAGTTTTATTTTTGTAGCGTATCTGTAATGTTCGTTGTGTATTTGATACGCTAGGATTTTATTTTACTGCGTATTTCTGCATTTCTGATAGTAGCACAAATGGATAAAATAAAAAGAAAACATTTAAGCAGCTTATCTGGAGCTCTGGGTATGGTAATGAGCACATATCTTTTGAGTACAGAATACAGGCCCGTGAAGATCTGGGGTAGAATAGGTCTTCAGCAACCCATGCTTGCGGTAAAAGGGGACTATACTTCTCGTAAGAGGCGTCTAATGGGATCAGGTGGTCAGGCACACTGACTTGGTTGATACATGTCATCGATCCCAATTGAGTGGATCGATGCTCATGATATTAATCACTGGATTGTCTGGTCCAGACTCGATTATTTACAGACCGCAGTCATATAGCTGGAATAATGCTGAGTGCGGTGTAAAACGACAAACCAACCAACCACCAGAATACACAGGAAACACTGCCTTTCTTCCCTGTACAGATAATGCCTTACCCGTCTTCGACCAAATTAGTCTAGACGAAAATACAATTCCTAAATATTAATTATATGTTACATTTCGCATTTGTAAACCTCTATAACGTCACTTCTCAGTTTCTTTTAATGCTCTCAATGCTACTGGCGAACCCAGTCAACAGGCGCATAGTCAAAGGAGACCCCCAAATGAAACTCGCTATAACTGTTTAACGAGAAGGCTTTGAGTGTGTTTAAAGGTACATATGGTATGCATAAATGCTCGGTTTGCATATCAAAACCTTCAGTAGTTTATTTACCTCAAAAAGAAAACATTGCGAGTTAAAAAAGTATCTGCCAAATTTCTCGGCACATACGGTAACTAGCAGAAACGGCCATTGTTGACTTTTGGCACTTCACGTTAAGCAGTATGCAGTCCTTTATTTCCTTTATCGGTTAAAGGGGCACTGATCTCTGACAATTTACCGGGAAATCTCAACTACCTCGCGACCTGTGCTGCGCCAATCGTAAGCGCATTTGTCGCCTTTATCTTATTGAGAGTATTAGGGCGCATCATGACATTGGTCAACAAAATTATACCAGTTTTGTCTTGGAAATAATAAGGAAATGTTTGAGGGTAACATCGTTAAAGGTGATGAAGTTTTGATAAGTCACTTGATTGGTATTGTGTGATTTTTGTTTACACTACTTTGACTTGTAACACAAATTAAATATTTCATGTGAGCATTGCTTATTTTATCGATGTGTATGTTTTAGTCAATGTGTAAAATTACTAAAATGTTCACTTAGGCAATTTATTAAACTCCTAAAAATTCAGTTATTTTACAAATTGACTGAAAAATCAGTCCATTTATTTTATTATGACAATGAATTCCCAAAAGTTTGCTTTTTAATTTCATCACCTAGTGACTGAAAATGACAGGATTAAAAGAAAACGAAAGTCAAAGTACATTTCTATAATTTTTGGATTCTAATCCTTGCATAATTAGTTTATTTTGACGTTTTTAAGCCCTTTTGAACGTCTTAATAAATTTCAGAGACCCGGCCTCTGATATGGTACACACTTCAGACAGAAATAAGACAATTGAAGAAAGCACTGGAATTTTAAATAATATATTTTTTGCCAACAAACTGTAATACCATTTACAACAGTTGCTATTTCATGTCATCACTCTAAATATATTGAATTACGATCTAAACATTGTCGAAATTTGATAACTGCAGATTGTTGTCTCCTGCATGCCAATGAAATGAACAGCTGATGGTGTTAAACATGCCTCCCAGACAATCTATAATTGTCCTCACAAATAATTCCCCATCAAGTCGACAATGAACAGAAATACATAAATATTAGTGTAATTTCTCCTAAAGTCGACAATGAACAGAAATATAAGTCAAATGTAATTATTTGTTAATACTAATGCTAATATTTTTAAATACATGTATTCGCAGTGGAATAATTAATGTCTGAAAATAGGATATAGGGGGATATATCTATATAATATGGAAATATTACTTGCAACATTATTCGAGTCATAAGTACCGGAAATCAAATACAGTTTCCACTGTGTGAAGATGAAATATCTCTGAAAATTAGCAAAGTCTCATCACACACCAAAAAATCTCATTGCTTTTGGACCAGGGGAGATTATCTCTCATAGTTAAAAAATGAAGGTGAAAGAAAGTTATTTATTTGTCCACACCACCAACATGCATTAAACCACCAACAATTACATGAGTTTTCTAAACAACTTTTTGTACACTTGATGAGTGTCTGAAATTATAGGGACGAGTTGGTATGGACAAATTAATAACTTTCATGTCATTTATGATGAATTGTTGCTTTCATATTAATATTTATTTTGCATTTCATTGGTACGATTTTCCAGCAAACGGACTATAAGCAAGCTTTGCAAAGCTTTCGTCCAAAACCACACGTCCCCTTTGTATCGTCATATTGCTCATGGTGACACAAAAGATATGACGTCACAGTCGTATATAGAAAAGCACCACATTCCTAGCTATCTGTTGTCCCTAAAACATACATTCTCCTTGTAGATTTCTATCATGTTTATTGTTTTCTGCATGAAATGTATTGCCACACATCCTTTGAAGATTGTAGTAACCGCAAATTTGCATTTTGTAACCTATAATTGTCAATACAATTATTTTAATTTGCCTACCCACAATGACTGAAAAAATACCTTTTCTTTTAATATCAGCATCCGCAGTGATGCGGCTGTCAAACCAGCTGTTTCAATCAGAGGGGGTTTATTGTGATTTAATAGCATCTGACTGACCAATCAAAATCGAGTAATTTCCAAGTTCATGGAGGAATTCCCTTTACCAGACAAATGCAGTTATGATCAAATCGACTGGTCCGTTTTAAAACAGTAGATCTAGATCTACTAATTATGAATCAAATCCGACAAAGTCACATTTTCTTACCTAACCTGTAATCCAGCAGAGACCCCAGGTATGGCAGCCCCCTGGGACCAGGGATATCCCGAAACGGTTTCGGAGCTTGGACTGTCGTGAACTCTTCTGTTGGTAAAGCACCTGTGCTTCTCAGCCTTCTGCAAGTGTGACATTGTGACGTCCGTAGTCTTAACATAGAAACACAGCTGTTGTTGCACAATCGTATGGAGTATGTGTGCGAAACATTCATTCTGTCAGTGTTTCACTGTTGTGCATGACCCGTGGATTGGCCCACTTGATAGTAAACTCACTGATCAACAGAGCTCCACACCATACTTTCTTAGTGACTTTTCTCGTATGAGACTGTTAATCGGTTGTTTATTGCTTAGACGCTGTAAGGAGCTCAGCGATCATTACCAGCTCCTCACTGTGCATTTTGTCTGTTTCACTGTTCGTGCATGACCCGTGGACTGGCCCACGTAACAGTCTGTTTCACTGTTCGTGCATGACCCGTGGACTGGCCCACGTAACAGTAAACTCACCGATCAACAGATATGCCATTACAGGTGCTCCACACCATACTTTCTGAATGACTTATTATTGTTCTCGTATAAAGCCGTGAGATCGGTTGTTGATCACTTTAAAGGGGCACTGATCTAACGCAATTCCCCGGGACTGGTTGTTGCCTTTGTTATTGTTTTTTCCCAGTGAGTACCCGGATGTATAGCAGAAATCTAGACTAGTTCGCGACCTCTGCTGCGCCATTCGTAAGCGCATTAGTCGCTTTTATGGGTAGTAATAAGGGCGTATGGTCACATTGATGAACAAAATGAAATACAGTTTTCGAGATAATAAGGAAATGTAGGTATCTTTGTGGGTAGCATCGGTAATGGTGACGAAGTTTTGATAAGTCACTTGCTTGGTAATTTTGCGATGTACACAAAGTACACATTTCACCTGAGCATTGCTTTTTTTATAGTGTGTATTTTTTTTTACAGTCAAATGTGTAACAAATTTATTTAACGTCTAAATATTCAGTTATTTTACAAAGTGACTGAAAAACATTTCCATCTGTATTATTATGATAACGAATTCCAAACATTTTGATGTGTAATGTCATCACCAAGAGACTGAAAATGTTACGTTGAGAAAAGTACATTTCTACGTTGTTTGGCTTCTAATCCTACATAATAATCTGTTGTTATGTTTGTAGGCACTTTTGATCGTCTTAATCAATCTGGACAGATTTTTTAGTCAAAATGACTGAAATATTTACACATTTTATAAATTGCCTGAGAGAATCACTTTTTACAAATTGACTGTAATATATACACAAAGGAAAAGACCTGTGAAAACAACGTCTATCGCGCATTGAAGAATTTCCCAACCAAGACGTAGAAAAACAAGAACGAATCGGTTCAAATGAAGGAAAACAAAATGCAAATATCATAATTACAACCTACCAAATTTATGTGTATAAATGTTAGGCAGCGTCCTTGTTCGAGGAATGTATCCGTGAATATCCACACAAAGGAACAATATCCCACTCGTCTGCAGATGTACACAGAAACTTATTCGATGTCACGTGTCTCAGTAACAATCAAATATTTTAAAAGATATATGTCGTTTCGGGATATTATAACCCGTGTTCGTTTCTCAACTGATCACTTGGATTGTTTCAGGTGTTTTACATAGGTGTCAAGTCTCAATGGTCGGCTGAGAAAGCCCACGTGACAACTATTTTCATAACGTTCACGGTTCCTAAAAAATCCATTGAGTGATAGATAACAATGATCAATCAATCAACGTATAAGTTAACCCTTTGAACAAAGTATGTTGTTTTTACATCGGCACTTCACGCCATGGTATGAGTGTATTCCCTTTGTTTTAGTAAACCTAGACACTCACTCTTGACATATCCACTGTGCAAGATAACAGTGATTAATCAATCATCGTATTTTCTGTTAATCCTTTGATGACTAGGAACGTTCCGTTGATTTACAAAAAAATAAATCAACTCTTCATTCATCTCTTGCTGGGCTGCCACGTGCATATTACATAACACACATTTCACCTCACTTCAAACCTGGATTTAGATTGAATAATTACCCCAGACACAATAAATGCCAAATGGGAACCTTTGTCAGGTAATCTAAGTGGTGCTACCACTAATTGTACCTGTAATAAATTCATTAACTGAGCATCAAGTGAATGACGACAAATACACAAGTGAAGGGTTATTCGAGAAAACGTGGATGTCAACAAGGGAGTAGTAATCGTATTATCGACGCAATCCGAAATCCGAAAATGCTTTCACTGCATGGATACTTTTTTTAGTATAAAACTATAACCATCTGGGGTATTTCCAAATGACGACATCCGATGAGCTCCGCTGTTCTTTTTGTCTGCTTGTTTAGGCTGAAGAAATTAATTAACATGCGCCCTTTGTAGAAATCTGTATAGATCACAGTTAACCAATCAGTGTTTATGCAAAAATGCGTAAAACAAATATTGCCTCCAGCCTCCCAAGTTTATTTAGCTGTCCTTGCAGACGGTAGCCCAGTCTCTGGTCACGCTCAGTTGTGTTGCGTATCATCCGGGTACTCACGGGGGAAAAACCAATAACAAAGGCAACAACCAGTCCGGGGAATTGCGTTAGATCAGTGCCCCTTTAATAGACGCTGTGCGGAGCTCACCGGTCAGTGAGTCAAGCTCCGCACTGTTCCATACACTTCCTTTACTAACTATTTTGGATATTTTACGTGCGCAATTCTTCGGAGCCGCGTGGAGGATTTTTGCATTTTCAGGCACTATTTCTATTTCTCTTATTTTGTTACCACTGATTTAAAAGTAAATTATTCATTACTATCTATTAATACGTTTAATTTATTTGGTTTATGGAATTATTTTCTCCAATCAGAAAATTCAATATGAATACAAAGTTGAAGAACTGATCAGGATTGGTTGCGACCACTTATGAAAGATATCGTCATTTTTTCGAGTTATTTCTGAAGAATTCAATTTTTAAAGTTGATTGTACCAAAAACTTTGATTTTAGCAAAACTATGAGCAAATACGCTTATTCCTGTACGTGGAAAACCTTTGAGTAGATTTCTGTTATAACGCGACGAGCTGGAATCAAAACTTTGCCGTTGACTAACTGTACATGTGTACCAGTTATCGCTATTATTTAACAGCACGTGTCACGTAATAGCGCGCAAACCTTCAGTTATACAAATTACATTTTTATTATCTCTGGTAGATCTGTCACTATTTTATTCATGAAAATTAATAACGAATGTTTTATACATTTGTCGTCTGTCAGCTGACGTAAACCATATAGAAACCTAATCCCCCAAATTCGATCTATACATGCTTATCCATAACACTATGTACTATGGATTTCGCGATAAAACCTGGTTTGGAAAAATAGCTAAATTAGGTTTAGAGACATTGTATTTAGGGAATGAGAGACAGATGCAGCAAACACAGAACTAAATCTGCATCATCGTGTTTTTGTATTTCTGTTTACGTGAGGAATTAAGTCACGTGACGCCACCCGCATGTTTTCTAAAGTTGTATTTTAGCAAGGTGCTTATGTGGTGTTTTTTTTTCATTTTTTGTCAAATTTGTTTATCATATTCGGATAAATATTTCTCCTTTCTTATGAAAACGAGCAAAAGTGAAGCGATAACTATATCGCTGATATATTAGGTGTAAATTATAAGCATACAACCAACTCATAACCAGGTTATATCATAAAATTCAGTAAGTAAGTAAGAAAGATGAACATAGAAATGAGGCGTTTTATCGTCCCTGTACGGTTTCGAACATGGCCTTCGTCAGTTTAATATGCCTTGTCCGGACGGTAGATCAGGGTGCAAATATGTCCAAAAAGTACATATCCGCACAACCGATACTAAATACTACAACATCAACTGTTAACACATTAACGACCAAGTACATTACCCAATCTTTTAGAATAAAATTCTGTTCTGATATGATGTGGCGTTATGCTGTGGGGCCGGCGTTAATTTCTTACTCACATCATGTGCGCTATAAACAAGCAAACACACTGATTGAACAAGCAGCCAAGGCGGCTTTTATCTTCTGTGTATGTGAGGGGAATGGGTTTCTTTTTTAGCAATGAACAAAGGGAGACCACCCATGTCAGACTATTTCTCCGAGTGTACCAGTGTAGTTGCTAGTTGGGGATCTTTCAGGCGTCTTGCGCAGCCTGTCCTTCCGCAGCAATACGTGCCAAAGTCACGCCGACCTTAAACACATCGCGCGTTACAAGCCAGCAAACAGTCCCCATTAAAGACGAACGCATATCTGTCAACTCTCACGCATCTCGCCTGAGTCTCACGCATTTATCATCTGTGTGTTTGATTTTAAGAGTACATGTGCGACAGGATGTGTCTGGCGTGTGTTTTGAGTATATGCATAAGAGGATGTGTTTTGCATGTGTGTTTGATTTTAAGAGTACATGTGCGACAGGATGTGTCTGGCGTGTGTTTTGAGTATATGCATAAGAGGATGTGTTTTGTATGTGTGTTTGATTTTAAGAGTACATGCGCGACAGGATGTGTCTGGCGTGTGTTTTGAGTATATGCATAAGAGGATGTGTTTTGCATGTGTGTTTGATTTTAAGAGAACATGTGCGACAGGATGTGTCTGGCATGTGTTTTGAGTATATGCATAAGAGGATGTGTTTTGCATGTGTGTTTGATTTTAAAAGTACATGTGCGACAGGATGTGTCTGGCGTGTGTTTTGAGTATATGCATAAGAGGATGTGTGTTTGTGTGAGAGGATATGGGTTGGTGCCCCCGTAATAAAGTATTTCTCCCTTTGGACTGTTTTGGCTACACCCTTTCGGTTTATGTTTGGACACACTCTTTCGATCTTCTTTTCCTTTGTTTTGACTCACCCTTTGGCTGACTTTTCTAAGTTGATTCAGCTCTCTGATATGGGAGAACCGTTTCTGTGCTCACTTTTGGCCCTTTCTTTTGACACATGCCATTCCATTTCTTGAACATATCTAAATAAATATGAAATAATGGTATACACATGAGTCTGTTTTCCTTACTTGGATCTAACAACGACTAGGTGACAGCAACTCAGCAGTAAAGGCAGGTGACCCGAGTCTGGTGTTAATATAATTTGAAGTAGTAACAGCGAGAATATATATTATCAAGTTAAGATATTAAGGGGACATTTGCCCTGAACCGTTGTGTTGCTGTCTTCCAGCATAATTTGTTAGCGGAATCTCCCATGGAAAGTTCGAACTCCATACCCATGGATAGCTGTCATGTAGTTTGGAAGCCGGTGTAGTAACACTGAGTTTTTTACGATCACTTTCTCACTTACTGGTGGGTACATGTGTGGATAAAAGATCGAGAGTTATCTCCCTTCGCCTTCTGTCGATGTTTCTCCTATCATCGATTCTTCAGATATATCTACAGATATTCCCTTTCGTTTAGGGGTAGCTGTTTGGAAAGTAAATATAGCAGTTTAGGCACACATGATAAAACATGATGAGAATGGTGACAAAAATTTAAACGTACGTTTCTTAGCAAACTAAGACTTCAAGGGCGACTGCGCTTCTGTGTCTGGTGCCCAGTTTCAGTCCAGATCTACACGTTGTAATTAATGCCTAACGGACACCTGGTTCAGTCAGAGTACTCAT